GGATGTCGGGAACGGAGCTCCATGTCACACCTCCTCCACACGGCCGTGCCAGCTCGCTGTGCTTGCGCAGGAAATCCCCCTCCAGCCTGGCTTTCAGCAGCTTCCACAGCACCCTTGGAACAAGGGCTGCTTTGGATGGGCAAAATCTAATCTTTTTTTTGCAAAGTACATTTGGAATATCGACATGAAGTACCTCTCCTTCCCCAAACTGAGATTATTAGAAATCCCACTTAGCTTAAAAAAAGGGTTGAGCACCGTATTTAGAAGTAGTTAATTGCAAAGATGAAATTCACACCTTCCTGATGTCTCAAAATAAATTCTCTCACTTGCTTTTCCAAGCAGAGACGAGCCCTCTGAAATTGGTGTCACCAACACAGTTTCATGCGTGTTTTGTGAGCACAGGAAGTTTAAGATAAATTCAGCAGCAGATCAGATGAAAGAACTTTTGCACTATTGTGTCTTTATACAGCTCCTGTGGCAAGGCCCACCGCTGCAGTACCCAGGGGCCTCACAGGCTCTAAGATATTCCATGGTGATGGTCTACAGCAGGATCCACTTTGCTGATGGGAAGACCAACAACACCCAGTAATGGGCACTCAGTGGATGCTTTGGATCACCCAAGGTTGTGGCTGTGTGACCCCCTTCACCTGACCTGCCCCTGTGCTGCCCCAGAGCTTCTCCTCCTGCTCCCCACATTCCAGCCACAGGGAGAATGAAAAAAATAATTTAAAAAATAAATTCTCATTTCAACGGCACTGACCTGGCACTCTGCAGAAGCATAAAAGAGCACAGAGTCATCCTCAGAATACTTTTAAATACTACTACAGGTTAAGGAATTTTACATCCTGTTTTACTCATCACACAGTGCCTCTGCCTTCATTGCCTGCTCCTGATTTTCCCTGGTATGAGTGAGAAGAACCAGGCCCCAGAATTACTGCCAGGAACAAATCAATGACAAACTGGAACCACTTAGATAGTGTTAAATCATGTTTATGTAAAGGTCTAGTCAATCCCAACCTGATGCCGTCGGTGATTTAAAGCACTTTACGGTATGCAGGGTCCCTCACTGTACCTTGAAATGCCATGGAAAAAAAAGCTTTTAAACATTTATACTGTGTAAAGTAGTGTGGAAACATTCCATTTCAGAGGCAAAGGGGAAACTTGCAAACCAAACTGCAGAGCAGGAAAGTAAGGGATAATCTGTGCATCCATCTCTACTCCTTCTTTAAAGAAGGCTACAGGAGGAAGTTAATTCAAATTTAATTTGATTTTCAATTCACAAATACCAAGACAGTCAGGTCTAGTCTTCTGTATTTTGCCATGTTTTTGAAGGAGTACATAAGTGCATCCTGAAATTTGTAAAATAAAGAAATATGTAAAATACAAAACAATTCTTCAGATCTGTCACTACACCCCAGAATGGAACTTAGAGGGGAAATAAAGATTTATTTTGCATCCAAGGCCTTTTCTGCAGCACTTTGCAATCCTGCTCTCTTTCTAAGCAAGAAAACAAAGTCAGCTACAAATACATCCAATTAATTCCTTAGAGAAAACTACTTTAAGTGTTTTAATACAAAATTACATCCTTCCCATAGGATGGAATGTTGTGTTAAACACAGACCATTTTGGGTATAGGTTGGAAATTGTCCCCTGTTATTAACATAGTTTTTGGAGTAATTTTTAGAAGCGCATTGATTTCATCCCAGTTACAAGTCACAGAAGAACTAGGAAAAATCAGCAGGCACCAGAAATTAAGGAAAAGAAGGGAAAACTCACATGACAGTCAGGACTGGGAGACTGAACATGCAATTTCAGTGCCAGAGAAGCTCAGACCCTGTTTTTTAAAGTGAGGCGTGTGAGAATTTAATTCTTACTGAACGATGTGGCCTTTGGGAGCCTGGGTCATTCCTGGGCGTGGTCCTAGGCCCTGGATTTAGATGGAGGGAGAGGTAAAGCTGCACCACGAGCAGCCCCAAGCTAAGCCTGTTATGCAATCCTTCCGTCACAGCCGCCTCATCGGCCTGGCTTGGCTTCCCAGTGCTGAGCTTCAGGATTTAAGGCCATTCACAGCAGCAGTTGCTGTGCTGGGAAAGGAATCCTGCCTGTAAGGCATAAATAATAAGGTTCCGCTGTGTTATTGGGCATGAAAACCCACCAAGAAAAACTGATTTTATCATTATAAAGGCAAAGCCATGGAAAGGGCTGGCAAGAATAATTTCAGGAAGAATATTGAGGTGCTGGAGCAGGTCCAGAGAAGAGCAAAAAGGCTAGTGAAGGGACTTGAGCACAAGTCCTATGAGGAGAGGCTGAGGGAACTGGGGTTGTTCAGCCTGGAGAAGAGGAGGCTCAGGGGAGACCTCATCACTCTCTACAACTCCTGAAAGGAGGTTGTAGCCAGGTGGGGGTTGGTCTCTTCTCCCAGGCAGCGATCAGCAAGACGAGAAGGCATGGTCTTAAGCTGTGTCAGGGGAGGTTTAGGTTAGATATTAGGAAGAAATTCTTTACAGAAAGGGTAATCGGGCATTGGAGCAGGCTTCCCAGGGAAGTGGTAGATTCACCATCCCTGAGGTTTTTAAGATGAGACTGGATGTGGCACTTAGTGCCATGGTCTAGTAACCACGGCAGTGTTGGATCAAGGGTTGGACTTGATGATCTCGGAGGTCCCTTCCAACTCAGCTGATTCTATGATTCTATGATAATTGAGGGAAGCAGTCTCTGCAGGCAGATTATGGGGGAGAGGGATGAAGAAAAGGTCAGGCCTGGGAGCAGTGGCACAGCCACACATATCTTAGATGTTAGGAAAAAATCCTTCCCTGTGAGGGTGGTGAGGCCCAGGCCCAGGTTGCCCAGAGAAACTGTGGCTGCCCCATCCCTGGAAGTATCCAAGGTCAAGTTAGATGGGGCTTGGAGCAACTTGGTCTGGTGGAAGATGTCCCTGCCCATAGCAGGGGGTGGGACTGGATGAACTTTAAGGTCCCTTCCAACCCAGGCCATTCTATCATTCTGTGATCTGCAGGGTTTGACCTCTATCCTTCCAACCTCAGCTTCTTTTCCAACTTGAATTACGGTTATGACAGGGATGGAAACAGGGTGAGACTCTGGTATTTTCCCACAGCATATGGTTAATCCAGACCTAATGTCATGTAGCTGAGGAAAAAGGTAAACATGGTGCAAAATCACCCAAGTTATGCTCTGCTGGTTCCCTGACAGCTGTGGAAACATGTGGGGAAGGGCTGGTTTGATTTCTCTTGGGAGGAGAGAAACATGTAACCAATACTTATCTATCCTTAATTTGTAAACTACAACCATCTGGACACGTGCACTCACACACCACTAGCACCCAACTCCCAGCTCCTTTGGGGGAGGTGAAAAGCTTTGGGTTGATTTCCTGGAGAAAAGGGTCAAATCTCGGGACTGCTGAGGCACAAGGGAGATGAGCTGGGGCAGAGTAGCTGTATTGAAGTGTAAACACTTCAGAACAGCAAAGGGCCTTTCACACCCTTATGCTGCCAGGCACAGGAAGATCTTGATAAAAAGATGTTATCAGTGTGCTTAGTCTGAATTACATGAAGCCACCACTACATAGGGGAGAGTCACGTTTATCAGGGTGGGTTTTTTTAAAGACTGATTCAGTTATTAGGACAATTCCCCCAAAAGGCAGTGGCAGATTGGCTCTTCTGTCAGGAGAAAATGCCAGATATGTGTGCGTGTGTGAGAAGGGGGTGGGATGATTTCATTGAACTGAATCATTTTCTGACTGATTTTACTTCCACTTGTGCCGTTTCCTGTGACTTTGACAAGAGTTTGAAACCACAGTGAAGAAACTGGTTTCTTTTCTGTGCAGACAGGAGGATTGTGAATGTCTCCTGGTTTTAGCGTAAACACCAACTTGTTTACACCGGTTCATCACATCAGCTCGAGGGTGGAGATGGGGTTGTGGGGTTTTACAGATGATCCAAGCACACCGGTAGCTCAGACCACACAGCAGACACTGGGCATCTGTGGAGATGACAGCTCTGCCCTTGGCACTGGGGTAAGAAAGACAACCCTGCAAAAAGGCATTAACCTATATTATTAGAGAGTGTCCAATGGGGGGCTGCGAGGATGGGGATGGCTCTGGAGGGGAAGCCGTTTGAGGAGCGGCTGAGGGCGCTTGGTTTGTTCAGCCTGGAGGAGACTGAGGGGAGACCTCACTGAGGTTTTCAATATCCTCATGAGGGGTAGTGGAGGGACAAGTACTGATCTCTTCAGTCTGGTGACAGTGACAGGACCCAAGGGAACAGCTGGAGCTGGGTCAGGGGAGGGTTAGGTTGACTATTAGAGAAAGGTTCTTCCCCTGGAGGGTGGTCGGGCACTGAACAGGCTCCCCAGGGCAGTGGTCACAGCACCAAGGCTGACAGAGCTCAAGGAGCATTTGGACAATGCCCTCAGGGACATGTGCTATTGTTGGGGTATCCTGTGCAGGGCCAGGAGCTGGACTGAATGATCCCTGTGTCTCCTTCCAAGTCAGGATATTTAATGATTTTATGATTCTAAATCCGGCACTGTCTAAGCGGTGTCAAAATATGTATCATAGAATCCCAGAATGGTGTGTATTGGGAGAAACCTTAAAGCTCATCCAGTTTCATCCCCTGCCATGGGCAGGGTCGCCTTCTGCTATCCCAGGTTGCTCCAAGCCCTGTCCAAGCTGGCCTTGGACACTTCCAGGGATGGGGCAGCCACAGCTCCTCTGGATGAGTGTATTGACTGCCGTGTGTTTTTAGATACCTCCTGTCGAACCCCCGGGTGCCGTCCCGGGCTCTGTGCTGACCCCACACACAGAACCCCCTCACACCCACGCTCCCTCCCGCCGCTCCCTCAGTCGGCCCGGCCGGCCCGAGGCACCTCCCCCGGGCGGGCCCTGCCCCGCGCATGCTCCGCGGGCGGTGCCGCCGCGCCGGGACCGCCGCCCTCCGTCCCAGCGCCTCGAGCCGCTCCCGATTCCGCTCCTGATTCCACTCCCGATTCCGCAGCGCGCCGAGCCCCGCGGGGCCGCGGCCGGGCCGCCCCGCCGGGACACACGGAACGGTGAGTGGGTCCGGGCAGGGGGCAGCCGGGCAGGGAGGGCGGTGCGGGCGGCGGGCGCGCTCCCCCGGGGAGGCTCCGCGATGGCCGCGGGGGCGGTGCGGGGCTTTCCCGGCGGCCGCGTCCGGAGTCAGGAGGCGCTGGGTCCCCGTGGCCAGAGGGGCCGGAGCGGGGCCGGAGTCACCGGATTCGCCTTATCAGAGAGGGGCCGGCGCGGGGCCGCTGGTTCCCCTTGGCCAGACGGTGCGGGGCCGCTGGTTCCCCTTGGCCGGACGGTGCGGGGCCGCTGTTTCTCCTTGGCTGGAGGGTGCGGGGCCACTGGTTCCCCTGATCCCGGGGGGCCGATGCGGCTGCGGAGCCGCTGCTCCCCCTTGGCCGGAGGGTGCGGGGCCGTGCGGGCAGCACCGGGCCGGGAAGGGGTGTCAGAGCCACGTTTCGCGGCCGGGCGGGGGAGGCCGGGTCGGTGACAGGAGGAACCGCAATGAAACAGCTCCGGTTGTGGCCGCCGGTGCGTTGGGAGAAGTTCAAAAGTCCCCTGGTGGTCGTGGGTGAGCGCGGACCCGCGAGCTCCTTGTGCAAGGGGAGATCCCGCTGCCTGCCACTGCTGGACAAGCTGCGGGCTTGAAATGTTGATGGTGTCCAGCTGTCGGTCTGGCAGCTGTTCCTCTGTAAGGGACGCTTCTGGGACATCTTTCACCCCCAAGGGAGGTGACAGCCACGATGCAGGGCTGGATATCCGTCACCCCGAGGGACACGCAGGGATGGGGAGCAGATAACCAGCTTTACACCTTCTACAGACACCTGAAATTCTCCTCTGTGTGTGAATGTGTGGAAACATTGCAGTGTTGGATGACGACAGGGAGTTGGATCTTTAAGGTCCCTTCGAACCCAAAACAATCTATGATTCTATAATCGCCTTGAGTTGGGATTTTTAAAATACACGTAGAAAGGTCGTGTATGAGGACAACCAGGACACAAAAGTCTGAAGCACTTCAATAATAATGGAGATTGATGGCAGAAAGACAACATGGCAGTGGCTCAGTGTGGCAGGAGGGGATGGACCCGGCTCTGTTTAAACAAACATGTTTAAACAAACATCGAGTCTGTGCTTAGGAGGATTAAGGGGGTGGCTATTCTGATGAATTAGGGATGGAGGGGTTATATTTTGAGGCATATCTGGAAAGAAGATAAGTGCAGTGCAAGAAGGTTTGAGGGGCTTTTTTGTGATTCTTTTAGTGGGTAGGAGATGGCAATAATTCAGAGTTGTGTCGCTTTTTAAACTTCACTTCAGTTGACCCAATTTTGCTCGTAGAAGATTCCCTGTAGTTTTATTCTTGAGCAGGATGGATGTGCTTTGGTACCCCTTTATTTGGGCTGCTGCAGCTCAGTATTAAGTTCAGTTTTGACCTTATAAGGGGACTGGAAGGCATTTCCTCCTGGCACTTGTTTTTAAAACACACAGGAAGTTGCACCTTGATCTGTGTTAGGTGACACTGAGACAGGTGCTTTGAAATGCAATGCCAGCTGAGGACATGCTGCTCTTTCTGAGCCAACAACAGATCACATCAGTCTCTTGCTGTCGTTTGTGGTCTTAAAAGTTAGTGATCACAGGCTGATTTTACAACCATTTTTGTCAGTACATGTTTAGTGATTCAGTTGTTAAAGATCTTATTTATCAAAGTATCTGCAAGCTGTTTGCCCCAAAGCCCAATGGCACAGAGACTATAATATCCTCATACACCACAAAACTGCAGGTATTTGGCCTTTGAGAAAGGTTGGGTGAAAAGCTTGTAAAATCTAGGGCGAGGGGGTTTAAATTTGCACTAGAATATAAACACAGAACTGGAACAACTTAACTCCTGGAAGGCTCTGCACTGAGAAAGTATATCAGAATTAATTGCAAAGTGGCCTTTCTGAGAGGTAAATCCTGAGCTGTTTCTGTATGCCCAAATTGTCTGTTCAATGAATTTATTTAAAAAAAACAAATGGGAAGCAAGATCTGGAGAGAATATCTAGTACAAAAGCTTTGGAAAGCAAAAAGCTGAAGTGCACCTGAACAGCCACAGGCCAAACTCAGACGGTAAAATCAACATTCTTTTTAAACTCATTTTTCCCTCTGTCAGACAGAGTCTACAATTTTGACTTTAATTCTTTTGCCTTACCTTTTGGGGGGGGCTGGGAGTAAGCCAGAGTTCTTGACTGGAAGAATAAGTGATACTAATTCTGTAAGTTTAGACAGACATTTCTGGAGTAGTTTATTCTTGCAAATAAAGACTGAATTCAGAGAAACCAGCTTCCCTTTTTTGTGTAGAGTGGAAAAATCTTTCTGTTTTCGCAGGCTTCATCCTGACAGTGATGCCTGTGAAGAGCTTCACCTCTTTCCTACTGCTTTACTCCCAATCCTCCCTGGCTTTGGGGGTGAAACACCGTTTTCACCTGCAGGACTGCCCTCAGGTTTTGTGGTGCCTTGCTGGTGCCTGATTTGGCACGAGGAAGAGATGCTCAAAATACAGCAGGAACCCACATGGAGAATCCTGGACTCCCTATGCTCAAAATACAGCAGGAACCCACATGGAGAATCCTGGACTCCCTATGCTCAAAATACAGCAGGAACCCTCATGGAGAATCCTGGACTCCCTAGCTGTGTTGGGTGTGAATTGCAGCAGAAAGAGCTGCTCTGTGTTTACATAAAGAGGAAGGTGTTTGCGTTGTTTGAGAGGTCAAAGCTTTCACACATAAAAGCAAACCCTAAGGACTGGTTTGTATTGAGGCGTGAAAAGGGTTGTTAGGAGAATCTCTGAACCAGAAATCAGGCTGGGAAGGGAGGTTGTGGAGGGAAGACTGAGCTGGGTCTTGGTTCCTGGCTTGTCTCACTTCCAACAGCAATTAAAAATGACAAAATGTTTTCGTCTGGATGAAAAAATGGCAATATTCATGTTGTTCTTTTGTAGCCCATCCAAGAGTTTGCAATTCCACAAAGATCGGGCATTATTCCTGTAAACACACGAACTGCTCTCGATCTTAAAAGCACTTAAAGTGCAATTAGGTTTCAGGTGTGGGTAATGGCCAACACTTGCTGGATTGATAGAAAATGGCTTTGGCAGTTCAAGTATATAATTCATGCAGTTAATGCTCTGGAATAAAGCTTTTTCATGGGCTGATACTACTCCATTTTACTCCTGGGCTGAGGCAGATGTGCTTGAACTTCATCAAGAAGAGAAGTGGAGTCTCAAAAAAACAGCATTTTGGGATTTTTGGCAGCTAAATTGTCACATCCACCTATTGCTGTAGTTTCTGTGCAGTACAGGAAGTGACAGATGAGGGGGATTTTTCTGTTCCCTTGTCTTTACCAGCACTTTAGGTATCCCATCCAGGATTTGTTTTACACAGTCATCTGATCCTTTAAAAAAACTGAAACAATGCTGCAAACTGCTGGAAAGAGAGATTTCTGATGCTTTTCTTGGGCAAAATGGTTGCAATTTCTCTTGACTGAAATTGGAGAAGGGAGGAAGTATAATTTAGTGGTTTTATTGTCCTGGCCTGTTGCGAACAGGTGGGTTTTTAAGGAACAGGTCCTGACAGTTTTCTTCACGCTTGTAAAACTACAAAATTTTGCTGGCTCCAGTAATTCTTGGTTTTTTTTCTTGAGCTGGTTATATAAATGTAATATAAGTTGCATAACTTACAGAAAAACTGAGCTACAGGAAACTGGAAGAGCAGCGTCAACATGGCAGATAAAGTCTGTACCAGTTACCCTTTTACAGGGGGTGAGATGTTTGATAACAGTGACATGAATGTTCTGTGATTAGGAATATGCTTTGAAACTACTGGCACATAGAATTATTCTGTTAGACTTCTTTTCCCCTCCTATGAAATGTAAAAGCTAAGATAGCGATTAGAGGAAAACAACTGGAAGTCAATGGAAAAGCAAGGGATTTATACATCACCGTGAAAGGTGGTGAAAGCCTGGGAAAAATGAAATTGGAGTTTTTGTTTGAGGAGGAACTAACCTGCAGAGTAAGATTGTGAACAAGTGCAGTTATAGCTGCCAAAGAGTGGTAAAATTGTTTGCAATTAAGTGTTGTTATTGATCAGGTGATCTGATCATAAACAGCCTTCTGGAAATACAACATCACTGCTCTGCTGTAGCTCTGGAGCTCCCAGAGCAACACCAAGGGCTTGCTAGTAAAGAATAAACCTTTACAAGGCTTCAAGACACTCATCAGTCATAAATCCATGTGCCTGCTTGCTTTGCTTTATGACGTATTTTGGACTTGTAATCCTTTGAAATGGGGCTGCTGCATAAAGGAGATACTGCTAATAAATGAAATAAATTCAGTATTTAATGCCAGGAGTGCAGACTTTGGTTGCCTGTGTGTGCACTGGAGGAGGGGACACAAAAGTAAGGAAGCAGTCTGCAGGGGAATAAACACATGAAGCTGCCTGAGATGGGCTCAGAAGCCTTGGAGCTGTTTAACCTCAGCTGTGTCACTGGCCAGGGCCTCACTTTGGCTACACAGCCTCTTTATTCCCTCAGCAAGTTTCTCACTCTCAGATGCTATATTCCATCCCCTGTCTCCAAAGGCTTAATTCCCTTTGAAACACAAAACCTGGCAACTGCTATTCCTGCTTCCAGGAGAAAACTCCTAAAGGACGATTTGCACCTTCCTCAGACTGTGGTACACAATGTCCCTTGTTTGCAAAGCGAATCTGAGAGGAGCTTTGGCTTTTGAGGCACCAGTGTATGAATATTGTTCAAAATTTTAGCAGTTCTGGAGTCCAAGTGCTGTTTAAGCTGTTTCTTCAGTGTTTCTTGTCATTTCCAGCTATTCCAGGACTGAGTGGAATCTGGTTTGCTCATCAGGAGGCTAAGTTGCAGTTTAGCAGGGTATTGAAATACTAAATACCCTTAATAATTGCCCTTCAATCTGGGGTATATTGTAGCAAAATAACTTCATTTGTCTTTCACTTCAGATCTTTAAAACTACTTCATTTTACTGGCT